TTTTCACACATGGTTTCACGATTTGTGGGCGTTTCGGGTTGTTCCTTTGGCTTGCGGTGGCGTTGGGTGGCCCTCCTCTTTCAGAGGGGTTCGGGGCTGGCGGGGCAGACTTCTTCCCCTGCTCTCTGTCGGGTCATCTTGGAGTGGGTGTGCATGGGCGTGGTTGAAATGATGACATCTCTCAGATGGGTTTTCCGTCTGTTCCCAGTGCCGAAACGAGACGGTGCAGACCTGAGGTTCATTCTGGACTTGTTCTGTCCTAACCCCTGGGTTCATTGCCCGTCCTTTCAGATGACTACACTGTTCCAGGTTTGGCTCCTGTTGGCACCGGGCTTGTGGATGGTGTCCCTGGACCTCCGTGGCGCTTATTGGCACATCTCGATTCATCCGGGGTTCAGGGACTGGCTCGGTTTTGTTGTGGGGCATCAAGGTTACTGCTTTCATTGTCTCCCATTCGGGTTGAACCTGGCACCTCGCATGTTCACACGCCTTACCCAGGTTGTCATGGCCCGTCTGCGTCTTTTAGGTGTTAGGGTGTTGGCCTACCCCAACGACTGGCTGGTTTGGGCTCCCAGCCGGTCCTCTTGTCTGCTAGCCAGGGATTTGGTTCTTTCCCAGCTCACCAGGTTTGGGTTCTTGGTTAACTGGAGGAAGTCCCATCTGGTTCCCTCCCAGGTTTGGACCTGGCTAGGTCTTGTGTGGGACTCTCGGACCACTTCCTTGTCTCTTCCTTTGGATCTCTCCTCAGCTGTGGTCCCGCATGGGTGTTCCGGGTGGCTCTTGGGTCACCCGGCGGTTGCTTGAGGGTTTGTGCGGGAGCCTGAACTTTGTGATGATAGTCTACCTGCCGGGTCGGGTTTGGCTTCGTCGGCTGTTCTGGTTCCTTTGAGGACGTCCCTTCTGCCTCTCTCGCAATCACTGGGTTTGGCCTCTCGGGGCCTTGCATCGGCTGCTGCATTGCCGGCTTCTTCTTCGGGTTTTTCGGGGTTCAGTGCCTTGGCGCTTGCTCAAGCCCTTGCTCGATGTGTTTACGGACAAGTCATTTCTCGGCTGGGGCTTTGTGACCAGTGCTCACCAGCCCGGCCAGGGATGGTGGGGTTCATCTTTCCGTCAGGCACACAGCACGGTGCGGGAGTTCGCGGGAGTGTGGTTTGCTCTTCGGAGGGTTCGGGTCGCCCATGCATCGACGATCTGGCTCCATTCGGACTGCTCCCCGGTGGTTCATTGCTTGAACTGAAGGGGGTTCAATGCGGTACTTGGCTCTTTGGTGCTGGTCACTTCGGGTGGCTCGTCTGCCGAGTTCTCAGGGTTTTGCTCTCAAGGCAGTTCACGTTCGGGGAGTGTCCAACAACTTGGTGGACAGCCTGTCTCGTTTCATTCCCCTGTCAATGGAATGGACAGTCGACACCGACTCCTTCCGTTGGCTCTGCCAGACTTTTGGGTGCCCCGAGGTGGACCTCTTTGCGTTGGCGTGGTAGCAGCGTCTTCCTCTGTATGTGGCGCCCTTTCCCGACTGCAAGGCCATCGGGGTCAATGCCTTATGCCAGGACTGGTCGTGGTGGGGATTCCTATACCTCTTTACCCCGGTTCAGCTGTTGCTCCAGGTCTTGACTTACTTGGAGACATACTAGGGTGGGTACCCGCCAAACACACACCGAAACAACGACGTTGGTACAACGTTCGAACAAGTTTTAACACCTCCTAACCAGTTATAACAACCAATATAGCAAGTTGTAACAACGTTCTAATACATCATAAACACGTTAAGCCAAGATGTAACAACTTTATTACAAGTTGTAACAAGCGGAAAATAGAGACAGTTACGGTTTGTGTTTCCAGGGTAGTCCTCTTGGCCCCGTGGTGGCTGGCCCAGCCGTGGTTTCAGGTGCTGCTTGCTCGGTGTCTGAACCCGGAGGTTTTCTCTGCCTCTTCCAGCAGATTGGACCGGTGCGTCACGTGGCTGGTTCGATCTTCTCTTAGAGTCTTTGCATATGGCATTTTTTAAGCGAGTTTATCATCATTTCTATGGTGATCAGGTGGCTTCCATGTTAGTGTCCCACCTGCGGGCTTTGTCTTGGCGGCAGTATGAAGTTTCCTGGCAGTCCTTCCAGTTCTTTTTGACTCTTTGTTGTTGTGCTTCACTTTCAGTTCAGGTGGTGTTGTCTTTCTCTCTTGGTTGTTCCTGGACCGTCATCTTATGCCGAATACTGTCGCTTCATATCGTGCGGTGCTGGCGGTGACGCTTCAGCTTGCTTTCGGAATTGATGTTACTTCAGTGCCATTTCGTAAGCTGTCTCATGCATTATTTCACATCCAGCTTTCTCATGCGCCACATGAGCCTTCCTGGTCATTGGACAGAGTGCTCTCCTTTCTCTCTTCTCCTTGGTTTGTTGTGACCTCTTCAGTTCTGGATTGTTTCTCGAAGGCTCTTTTCCTGTTTGCATTGGCCTCTGGGGATTGGGTTGGGGAGCTTCATGCTCTCCTCCGGCACAGGGGTTTCTACTCTTTCAGTCTTGGTGCTTGGTTTGTTTGTCTACAGCCATCTCCTTTTTTGGCGAAGAATGAGACGGCTACTTTCCAAAAGGGTCCTTGGGTTGTTGATGCTTGGTTGGTCAGGCCGGGGGTGCTTCATCCTTTGTGTCCGTTAGCGGCCCTCCGCCGTTATTTGCGCGCTGCGGCTTCTGTGTTCGGGGACACGCTTTGGGTTGATCCAGTTTCCCTCCTTCCCTGTTTGTGGGTGCGGATCTCCCAGGTCGTCCACAAGGTTATTAAGGCTAGCCAGCCTGCGGTCTATCCCTGTGCCCATGACGTGCATAAGTTCTCTGCTTTTCCTGCCATCTTTGGCAACATGTCCTGGGCTGACATTCGGGCGTGGGACTTTTGGTGGTTGAACAGGGTCTTGGCTGCACACTACCTGGTGAACGTTCCTGGGCTTAGTCAGGCCTGTGTCGCTTTGGGTCGGCGGTTGCAGCCAGTTGTCTCAACTTCGGGTTGAGGCGTGAGTAGCGACTGCCTCCCGGGTAGGTCCCTCTATTTTCCTCTGTGGGTAGTTAGCTCTGGGTAGCCGAAGGAGCTCCCCCATAAAACCCGCAATGAATGTAATGAAATGCCATTTTCTGGGCGAGACCTGGAGGCTCCCTGGCATCCCTCCCTCCCGCTGGTTGGTACTTTTTCGTGTGTTTTGATGTCCAGCTTCAGAATTGAAGGGTGGATGGCTGGCACGGGGGTCTGGGGCTCCCCCTTCCCCCTCCCTAGGAGGGTGGAGCTGCGCAGACAGCGGTGTGGGTATGTGTGATATCATGCTCGTTTGCTCGTTTCTTTTGGCGAGTTCTATCCACTTGTTCGGCTTTTTGTAGCAATTTTCACCAGAATAGGGGTTTGTTTTGGGATGTTTACCTTTCTGGGTGCCTGACCCGGTCGATGGCAGACATAGAATGCTTCCAATCACACGGGGGTTTCTATAGGCCATTGCTCCTTGTGCCTCTTCTGAGGGGGCAGGGTTCTGGTTCGTGGTCCCCGGTAGGCCCACAGAACTCCATACAAATGACTGATGCCAAAGTCTTACATTAGCATATCAACCTGGGAAAGCTCCGGGGAGGCTCTGGGTCTCACCCAGAAAATGGCGTTTCATTATATTCAACGCTGGTTTTTTGTCTTTTGCTAAGTAGCTTCAGGGAGCTGAAGGGGCTTTCCCCAGAAAACTAGCATTGAATGTAATGAAATGCCATTTTCTGGGTGAGACCCAGAGGCTCCCTGGCATCCCTCCCTCCTTACCTTTCTTACCTTTAGAGGTAACCTTTAGATGCTTACCTTTCTGGGTGACTGACCCAGTCGATGGCTGACATAGAATGCTCCAAATCACATTTGCATTTCTATAGGTATTTGCTCCTTGAGCCTCTCTGAAGGGGCCAGGCTCTGGCTTATGGTCCCTGGTAGGCCTAAGAACTCCATTCACTCTGACTGATGCCAAAGTCAAATATATCTATATCAGCATGGATAAGCTCCGGGGAGCCTCCGGGTCTCACCCAGAAAATGGCGTTTCATTACATTCAACGCTGGTTTTATATGGTGTGGCATTTGCACCCCTAACAGCCGCATTTGCCCCTATGCTGTTTGTATTATTCGGTGAGCGGACCCTGTGCCTAATGTTCCTGGCAAGCCCTTTGTAATTGGAGGATTTATTATGGGCAGGTCTTCTAGTTCTACCTTAACAGAGAAGTGAGTTTGAAGGCTGCACCTGGGTTTTGATGTGTTCAAAAGGCCATTAAAGAATCTGTAGCTTTAGAGGTAGCTATAATACAACAAACACAAATTGATTTATTTATGAAGAAATGAGTGAATTTTGCTACATGATGTTTACTAGGTATTTCTTAGTTTCTCCAAGTTGGTTGAAATAAGTAGTGTTTAGTTGCATTTGAAAGGTCATCCCACAATTTAGAACTGTTTGTTTTTATGGCAGTTTTGCTTTAGCTGAGTCTCTTGGAATACCAAATAAATATTTTCTTTCTCGTGGTGTCAATGGGTTGTGTTACAACCTTCTAGGAATCATTTGAGGTCTGGATTATTATTACACTTCAGAGATTTATAGATATAGTACAAATTGTATAAGTAACCATTAAGGAGTTTGAGGACAACCCTAAGGACCAAGAGGGGTTTTACCCCTCCATTACCTTCATAACTCTTGCCAAATGCTGAGGAGCCGACTGATTTAGCAAGGTCACCTTCATACTGAATGTTCTATTTTTCCACTATACTCCTTACCAGACACATGTTGTCCACTGTTGGGCATTAGCTTCTATGGGAACAATAAGCTTTCAGATTAAGGAGTATATGGCATAACTGTCATGGACTGTACTGTATTAGTCAGCATGGTCAGTACATTCCAGCATGTCCAATGCCATTACTGTAAACCACAATTCCCCCACCACACAAAGCTAGCTGCCAGCAGTGTATATAATTTTTTAAATACTGTAGTTTAATTTGTAATTATTTTATTTCAGATATAGACGATATAGATGGAGACTTGGATATGCAAGTTGCTTTGGGATCCTCTTTGGGAAGATCGCCCTCACCTCAGGAACCAACGCAAGATGTTGTCCGATATAACACTACTAGGCCCGGGATCAGACGCCAAGACAGTGACACAAATCCACGAAGCTTGAGCAGAAATAACAACAATCAGTTATTCTATAGTTAGTTGTCCTTGTAGGGCTTTTATAGAAGCTTTATAAACTGTATAGCCCAGTTATCTTTAAATTTATTTATACCAAACAACTGTAGACATTGTACATATGCTAAAAAAAAAAATTTTGAATGATTATTTTTGTCTTTTGCTCAGTGTGTTAGTGTGTACTTAATGTTAAATAATTATATTCTGACAAAGTAATGAAACCAAAAATGTGCAAAGTATTGCTTTGATATTTTATATGGACCTCAATATCATTATGTACTACTTAATGAAATTTGCATCTAATGTAATGTGCATGTATATATTCACTGTATGTAGATTTGTGCAGTTTTTTATATATATATAAATATATGTATATGAATGAATATGTGTTGTGTATGAAGTGTGTGTAAAGAAAGATGAAGCATGAAAAGAATGCTTGTGTTTGTCTCATTGGAAAAAATATTAGAGGGAAAATTAGTGTTCGAATAATAAGCAAAATGGTCAGACTCTTCCTCTATCTAGTTGTGCAAAGGATAAATGGCATTACTTTTAAGTTTTATGTCAAAATTGTGTTGAGTTCAGTGTTTGTTATGATCATTTATCAATGTATAATATTGTTATTCCCATATGAACATAAAACTTGACAAAATTAGTCCCTCATAATTTCATCCTCTGTCAGAGGCAGCATGTTATTTTACAAATGTTTCCATAATTCCTGTAATACCAACTCAGTATTATCTTTTATGATTATACCATAAAACAGAAATAAAGAAGCCACACAATGTCTAAAATATTATCATTTGTCTTATCTTTACAATGTATATTTACGTCATGACTTTTTTTTTTATTTTTTAGTCCATGATTTACATGTTCTCTAATGGTTTATATTTACTTTATGAGAAGGAAAGAGTTTGTGGGGGTAGTTTCAGATAACAAGATATGTTCAATACCAAAGATTTCAAGTATAATTGTAATGGAAGATATGAATAGTAACATGGGTGCAAATGGTGCTCAAAATGTTTGTAGATTAAAATATTTATGCAATAACTTAGGTTTATGTATTACAAATCTATTTGTAAGCATAAGGATATACAGGATGGAATGGGAAAAGCCAAACATTCCTGGAGTGGGGATTTGGGGAGTTTGTCTACTCCCCAAGGCCCAGCCTATGGTCCAGGCTCAACTTGTAATAGTATTGAAATATATTAAATACCCCTTTTAACTGCCAAGTCCTCAGTAGCTCTGGTATCATCAAGACTTGATGCATAACTCCAGATGTCTGAGACCCATCTATTACCTATCAGACGCCAAGATGAGAATCTGGCTAACTATGAGGCAAGCAAATCGGGGGATCAGGCAGAAAACCCACCAGGACGCATGAGTGCAACAACACAAGTGACTACTTAAAGGAAATTAAGCATCCAAAGTGAACTAAGGCCAACTATTGTTACTGTGAGAGTAAATACCCTGATCGTGATGCACCTGACCATCACCAGATGGCTGCTCAGGTTACCTGCAATCTCAGCCATCCTGCCCCCTCACTCTGGAGCCCGATTTGAATGGCAAAAACATCAAGCAATTTTCTGGTAAGGGATATCAGTTCAGGATCACACGACTCTGTTCTCAGACCTAAAAGAATGATGGAGTTTTGGCACTCCATATAAGCCACATTCCCATTCCCAACGGTTGCCCTACAGTTGTGTAGTGGTGTCATAACCACTCTTGGATCAGCAATGTAATGGATATGAGGGCCTTAGGTCCATGGCAAGTAACAACTTGACAGATCAAGTTATCACATCACCAGACAAACCTGGTACCAGGCTGGACTTTGGGAATGGAAACGCTCTTGAAACCAGCTACACATCGATAACGCCACTTGACCATGAAGCTGAGGATGAGCCTCCCCAGAGGTTCACTGTCTTCCCTCCCACCCCCGCTACACCTCATGCTCACTGCCATCAGACTCTACACCAGCCACAAATTTGGTAATTCCATAGTATTAAGAAGTGCTCTAGAGAATACAGATTTTAAATTTTTAGGTGGTCCCAATAATTTACATGTTTTATTGAGTCGATTCTAGCAGTAAAAGATCTTTGCACACTCTTTTTCCGTGTTAGAGTAGTTAACAGATGGAATGCATTAAGCAGTGATGTGGTGGAGGCAAACTCCATACAAAGTTTCAAATTTAGATATGATAGAGCCCAGTAGGGTCGGGAATCTGTACACCAGTTGATTGACAGTTGAGAGGTGGGACCAAAGAGCCAGAGCTCACCCTCTGCAAGCACAACTAGGTGAGTACTCTTCAGGTCAGCAATTTCTCAAGCTTTGAATGGGGCTGTTAGTGTGCAACAGTATTCCATTCAAGAGATCACTAATGTCTTAAAAAGTTGACATTGTTTCTTTCAATAGTGTGATTTGGCTGCATTTTATACAGTATGTGGTTTCTGCCGTGATTTTTTTTCCCATAGTGTATTAATTGGAGCTTTTCCTCATTAAACATCATGTTATTTTCTGTGGCCCATTGAATGACTTAATTAACATCGAATTGGAGGATTGCTGTGTTCTCTATATTGTCTACTCTTATGAAAAGGTTAGTGTCATCTGCAAAGGATGATACAATCAGTGGAACCTCAACTTACGAATTTTACTTACGACTTTTTTGAGTTACGACCCCAATTTTGTCTGAAAATTAGGCTCGACTTACAACTTTTGCCTCGACTTGCGACTTCGTTGATACACGTATGGATCGATGGAGCGCATGATTTCTGGTGGTGCGAGCGACCCCGCTTCGTTTACCAGACCGCCTGCTTAGTGATGATCGCGCTTGAATTGTTTGTAAAGAATTTAATTGTTTTTGTGCTTTTTTTTTGTCTTTTCAACTTATAAGTAATTATAATAATCATGCTATGAGTCCCAAGAAAGTCAGTGGTAAGGTTCAACCTAAGAAAACACATGTCAGGATGACCATAGAGAAAAAACAAGAAAGCATTCGTAAACATGAAGATGGTGTGCGGGTTGTTGATCTAGCTAGGCAGTATAACAAATCTATGTCAACGATACTTGCTAAGTAAAAGAACATTGAGGCTAAATTGGCAAAAGGCGTATCAGTAATCACGAAACAATCGTTGAAAAGTTATTATTAATTTGGATACACAACAAGGAGTAAGCGGGTAATAGCGTTTCAGAGGCCATCATTTGGGAAAAAGTAAGGCTATTGCATGATCTAATCAAGAAAACCACTGGGACAAGTGATCCAGATACAAAAGAGTTTAGGGTGAGCAGGGTATGGTTTGAGAAATTTAGATAAAGATGTGGCATTCACAGTGTTCTGAGAGTTGAGTGTTGTAAGTTGGTAGAGGAACACAGCGAAAAACTGACCACTGAAGAACTCCAACCCCTTCACAAGGAATGGCAACAAGAGACAGCTGAGGAAATTTCTTCAGGGGGAGGAGGAGGCAATACAGAATGTCTCTTCCTGAACAATTAAGGAATGGTGTGCAGTATGGAAAGAAATGCAAAGTTTTGTTGAAACGACTTGCCCAAATGAAGCTGCAGTAGGCCGTTGCCTTAACCATTTTAATGACACTGTGATGCCTCACTACAGACAAGTGTTCAGATGTAGAGAAAACAAGTCTCTATGGAAAGGTTTTTAGTGAGAAAAACAAGCAGTGAGCCTTAACCAGGTCCTAGTGGTATGCAGGCAAAACATAGGAAAGAGAGAAAGAGTACCCCAGAGAAGTCATCACTGCCTGATGTTATAATGGAAGGGGACTCCCCTTTCAAATAGTAACACCTCTTCTCCCCCCCCTTCCTCCTCGCCGTCTTTCATATGCCAACAAGAGTCATCAATAAAGGTAAGCTATAACTTATTTTGAAGTTACTGTAATATTTTAGGGCGTGTAGAACGGATTAATTCAATTTACATTATTTCTTATGAGAAAATTCATTTCGAGTTACGAATTTTTGAGTTAGGACCCATTTCTGGGAATGGATTAAATTTGTAAATGGAGGGGCCACTGTACTATAATTTGTATTCTTGTCTATGTCTGATATAAGGATTAGGAAAAGTACCATAGCAAGTACGGTACCTTGGGGAATTGAGTTTTCATGATGGATGATTCACAAGTTGACATTATATTACACTCTGGGTTCTGTTTGTTAGGAAGTTGAAGATCCACCTACCCATTTTACTTGTAATTCCTTTTGTGTGTAATAACACCATGGTCACATTTGACAAAAGCATTTGCTAAATCTGTGTATATTACATCAGTGTTTTGTTTGTCTTCCATGGCATCAGAGGTCATGTCATAGTGGTCTAGCAATTGTGAGAGACAGGAGTGCTATGTATTCACCTAGTTGTGCTTGTAGGGGTTGAGCTCTGCTCTTTTGGCCCACCACTCAACTGTCAATCAGTCAACTAATTTTTTTTAATTTATTCCCCCCCAAAAGCAGCACATAACAGCTGTCTAACTCCCAGGTATCTATTTACTGCTAGGTAACAGGAGCATCAGGGTGAAAGAAACTCTACCAATTTGTTTCTGCCATCACCGGGGATCGAACCCAGACCCCAGGATTACGAGTTCAGAGTGCTGTCCACTCAGCTATCAGAGCCCCCATGTTCTGAACCCATGTTGCCCCATGGTTATGAAGACATTGTGATTCCATGTGTTTTGTGATGCCTTTCTTAGCCCTCTTTCAAATATTTTTATGATGTACTATGTTAGAGCTATTGGTCTACTATAGTTTTTTGCATCAGCTATACTACCTCCTTTGTGAAGTGGCATAATCTCTGTTGCTTTAAGTATTTCAGGGATAACACCAGTATCTAGGCTCCATCTCCAAAAGATATTCAAGCCCAGTGATAGTGGTTTTTTACAATTCTTGGTGAATATAGAATTCCAGGAATCTGGCCTGGTGCAGAGTGCCTGGGCATGCTGTCTATTGCTACTTCAAATTTTAGTGGGGTTAGGGTAACATCTGATATATGGTTCCATGGTGGTGTCACGTTCATAAAAGTCAAGCCTGGCCTTGGGCCGGGCTTGGGGAGTAGAACTACTCCCAGAACTCCATCAAGCAGTTATCAAGCAGGTTCTATCAAATATAGGGTTGGGTTGAAAACCCCATAGGGTTGTAAAACCGTGGAACCACCTTCCCGCTGAAACCATAAATGCCAAAACTCTGCGGATTTTAAAATACAGATAGAAAAGATCTGGGCAAATTGGGGGACCTTTGACAAGCCGGCAGCTTCCTGTCCTCATCAAGGCCACAAGTGTTAGTGGCTCTCAGGTAAATTCAGGTAAATTCATTTGGATCATCAATCTGCAATGTGTTCAGGGGTTCACCGAAAACAGAATCATACTGTAACCTCAGTATTTCACTCATTTCTTTGCCATCATCTGTGAATGTTCCATCACACTTCATCAAAGGGCACCAATGCAGGAAGTATTTTTTGTCCTAGATTTTGCATAAGATAAATTTTTGTTTGGATTTCTCTCTATTTTGTTATGGACTTTTGCTCTTTTTGTCACACCTGGATTTTATATGGTTCCTGCCACTTTAGGTCAATTGTTTCTACTTCTTTACAGAGCCTTCTTTGATGTTCTTGGGATAGAGTTGAGCATTTAAGATATTCTGCAATTTTTTTTAATGTCTATTCTGTAGAGGGAGCACTGTTCTCATTCCAGTTTGTATGTGTATTTTTTCTTAATCTGGGTGGTATGTGGCATGCACACATTTCTAGTGCTACTGTGTCTATTTTCTCAAGGCACTGATTTAAGTTTGTATTATCTAG